CTGCCCAAAGAATAATGACAGCCTCTCAAAAGGACACAGAAGCCCGACTCGAAAGGGCCCCACCCCACGGTCAAATCTGAGACCATTTAAACATCGCAATAAATATAGAGAGGAAAGGATTATAACCTATTATAAAATCTAGGAATCCAGGAGTCTACACAGTTATAAATTAAAAAATAAATAAATGCTCTTCCTTGCAGTAGAAAACCAACAGTAAAACGATGATGGAATTTTTTTAAACACACCACCTGGCAATCACAACAATAATTGATTCGGAGAAGGATCCTTAATAGATGCCAAAACCAATGGGTAAAAATTTGAGGAATAATGGGGTGTTTTCATAGTCTCAAAGTATCTCTCCAAAAGAGATTTATCAAGTGTCTTTGTATCGAGTATCAAGTGACTTTATAGAGGCCACCGCCACCACCCCGTGATCAAAGGGGACATTGCCAGTGATGGGAAGTAACAGCACATGCCCCCGGTACGATGCTTCTGTGGGGCTCCTGTCCGAAGTTCATGTCCGAATCTGCACAGGAGGGAGCACCAGACAAACCCAGATTTAAGGAATGCCACCACGTGACGGGAACACGTCACTCCTGTCATCACACAGAGCTGGGAGACGGTGAGGACAGTGCAGCACGAATTTTAAGGACATTCCGGCTGTTCACCTGTTGTCACACGTTCATTCCATGCCGTGCGGTGGAGAGGGCACAGGAAGTATGACCATCTTCAGATTTAGCATAGGTGACCCTGGATGAGTCTCTGGACACCTCCGCCCTGTCCCCGGTCAGCTTGTCTCATCTCTTTCATGGGCAGGTTGGAAGGACCTCACCCAGTGTTCGTGGGGCTCTGGGGGAAATAGGGAGGCTCTTTGCTAGTTACAAAAGATCGTCCAGGTGTGTTGTACAATGAAAACACTCCATGTGGGGCTTTCAGCCCTGCAGGCCTTTGATCAGCCCAAAATGTGAGGACCACCACCCTGCAATGAAGACACCACCCCAGGACTTGCTGCATAAACACCTAGTTACTCACTCAGTGGTAGCACCTGAGACTGGGGTGTGTGTGTGTGTGTCCGAGGTGGAGACACACATTTAGTGAGCACCTCCTCCATACCAGACACTATTCTAGGCCCAGAAGACAGTGAGGGCCAGACAGAATGAATCTCAGCTCTCGTGGCCTCAACTTCTAGGACGATGTACTTCTACCCAAGCTAGGAACCTCAAAGTTGACTTAAAATGCATCAAGCCATGGAGTTCTCTTAAGGAGGAGAAAGAAAAAGAACAACACAAAAATAACCTCAGTGTTATGCACATTCATTTAATTCTCATCCAAACCTTTGGGGTTAATGTACCCATTTCTCTGATAAAGAAACTAGGGGCACCTGGGTGGCTCAGTCGGTTAAGCGTCTGACTCTTGGTTTTGGCTCAGGTCAATGCTCTTGGGGTTCTGAGATGGAGCCCCGCATCCGGCTCTGAGCATTCAGTGCAGGGTCAGCTTGGGATTCTCTCTCTCCCTCTCCCTCTGCCCTTCCCCCTGCTCACTTTCTCTCTTGCAAAATAATAAAAATCTTAAAAAAATAAACAAAACCTAAAACTAGAAAAGGTGCCCAAATTTAGTCCAATAAATGTGGGGTCTAAAATTTGAACTCGAGGCTGTGGAGCTTCAGAGTCCCGGCAGTGTGGTTCTGTGGGCTCAGGGCCTCTCTGGGCTGGATAATTCTTTGTGGTGGAGGCCGTCCTGTGCTCTGTAAGTTGGTTAGCCCTGGCCTCTACCCACTAGATGGCAGGAGCACTCCACACCTGGTTGTGACAACCAAAAGTGTCTCCAGACTAGGCCAGATGTCCCCTGGGGAACAAAATCACCCCAACGGAGAACCACTGGACCAGGTGTAAACACTTGTTCCATCACTTATTGTCATATGACCTTGGATAAGCAACTTAACCCCTCTGTGCCTCAGTGTCCTCATCTATAAAATGGACAAATGACAGTAGGTGAGGTTAATGTGAGGGTCAAGTAGAATCAGGAAAGCACTTGGCCGTCCACATAAGGGCTCAGGACATGGCTCTTTTTTCCACTGCCTTCTGCTGCCTCCCCTCCAAACACCATGGAGTGTTCAGAGCAGGTGAATAGAGGAGGTTGGCTTACATGTGGAAAGTGTCATAGGAAAGTGTCAGGTAACCAGCTAATTAACAAACGGACAAGGGATGTTCTGATCCCCGCATTAGTGCACCTGCTGACTTGGGGATGCCCTGGCAGCCCTTCTCACCGCCACAGGGCAGTGAAGATTAAAGACTCCACAGCCAGGCTGCCCAAGTTCAAGTTCAGCTCAGCCACTCATGAGCTATGTGACTCTGGGCTCGTTATTTAGCTTCCTAATGTCTTCATTTCCTCGTCTGTAAAATGGGGGTAATAAACGTGCCTGCCTCGCAGGGTTGTGAGCATTGAATGAATGAGCACATGCGTGGTGCCCGGCGATGCACGCAGCCCCATGGTAATGAGCACATGCGTGGTGCCCGGCTCTGAATGCGCCCCCACAATGTGTGTTGTTGCTGCTCTCCCGTTCCTGGCGTGAGCCTCCAGAGGCCTCCAGCCACACTGACCACCTTTGCCTTCTCCCGGCGTGCCAAGCGTAGTCCCATTTCCAGGCGTTGGCGCTGCCATTCCCTCTGCCTGGAGTATTCCTCCTCCTAGACCTTAACATCCCCGACCCTCCTCCGTCTGGGTCTCTCTGCATCGCCTCTTCTGAGAGCCACCACCCGAAATCAGACAGCAGCTCCCCCACCCTGCTCACTGCGCTGTCCGTGTCCCATCAGTTGTCACTGCCTGAACTGATATATCGGAGTCCGGGCTGTGCTCATACTGCAAAGCAATATGGTCGTGTTCCTTCACTTATCTCCCTCCTGCTAAAGCAGAAGCTCAAGACACCAGACTATTTGGTGACTACATTCCTAGAACAGCGCCCAGCACAGAGTGGGTGTAAATAATTACAAGAAATGATTAGAGCTATCTTGCAAAAGGGATTTCCAAAGTCCTCACACAACCCATTTTCCTAACACAGAAATTGTTTGAACCGGGGCCTAGAACACGTTTGCCGCAAGTAAAAAAAAAAAAAAAAAACTTGCTTATAACAGTGGGTCCTTTAGAATAGATTAGCTACACTTAGGAGACTTCCAGATCAATTCGGCTTTCTCAAACTGTGTTCCCCGCAACTGTGGTCTCCAGAGAGAAGGGCGTAAGGAATTGAGCCAAACAAGGATTCACAAGGTCAAAGCTATCGGGAAGCAATGCAGAATTCTCTCCTGCTCGGGGATTCACACTGCACAGAAAAGCTCTAAGCCCTGTAGAGAAAACAATTATTTTAGCTGGGTTTCCTGAGCTTAGGTGGCCCGAGACCCCACCCATAACAGGTGCACAGTGAAGAACAATTTGGAAAACAGTGCTCTAGTGTAAGTATTTCAACTTACAGATGCAGACAGAAAGTGCGGCCCAGAAAGGTTACTGGACTCATTCAAGGTCACACAGCCATCTTCTGAATCCTAAAGCAGGGCACTTCTCATAGCCCCTCATGTTTCCCAAATGGTCCACAGAAGTGATCAGGTCACAAAAAGACCAAACACTGAACACAGACCTCAGATTCCAATATCAGTTTGACTAAATCAGGTATGAAAATTAAGGTACCAAATAGGACTTGGTTTCAACCTCACCATTCCAGAAATATTCATTCGACAAATATTTATTAAGCATTATGTGTCAAGCAGTGCACATTTTGCAGTGAACAAGACGTGGTTGCTCAGCAGACTGACAATAAAATTATCCCTAAAGAGACCAAAATTGATTGAACTGTCCTTGATAAGCCTGCTTCCAAGTAGGGATTTATAAGAAATTACATATTCAGATTTCATTTGCTTCCATTAACAATGCTCACATTTAGATCTAGTGGTAATAACATGCTCTCAACTGGAATGGCTCTAGAATAAAACACTCCTCTTCCCTGTGCAGGCTGCAGAGAGGAACAAAAAGATTGAAATTCCTTGGGCTCTTTTTTTGTTGAACACCTCAACCAATAGATTTTCCCATTTCAAGTTCATTCAAATATCATCTCTGGCTCCTACATTTTCGTTAAAATGCGTTCTCTCATTTCTTGGTGCCTACAGATGAAAATGTCTATTTAAAAATGAGATTTTTTTTTTTAAAGCTTATCAGCTCACACATTTCAGAGCCTTTCAGAAATGTGGATCAAAAGCCACGTAAGTCTAAAACACTACAGATTTGAGATTGAGAAAGATTCAGCTATTGCACTGTATGATCTTTTCAATGAACTGATAGCATCTATCTAGGACCTGGGAGAATTATTGTATGTTATTTTTTAAAAAGGAGATTCCAAATGAGAAAAAAATATTAGAATTCCAGGGCACAGAAGTCCCTATTTGATGCCATGGCACTGAAGCTCGCTTTCAGCACAGACTTGAGATGTGTGTATCTAAAACAAAACAACAACAACAAAAAATTAAAACAGAAAACCTGAGGAATTGGAATCTCTTCACGGTCCTTGCTCCTGTATGTACCTATAAGACCAACCTGTCTGCAAAGATAAAATAAAGAAGCTTCCAGACCAAGCCAAAATCTTCCCTGATTTTAGGGATGCTCTCATGGTTTCTCCAGGAACTATTCTGAAAACCAATCTGGCAAAGCAAAGATAATCACCCCATCATGCACATAATTTGTGTTTATTAGACACCAGAACAAATCAGAAAGAGTTCCTCAGCTTTCGTAAAGACACACACAGAGAGCAGAAACTGCATTAACACAGACCACAGGAAGTAAGATACACGAAAGCCACACCCCCCCCCCCCCCCGCAACACTACACACACACATAGAACCTGTTGTCTAAAAATCAACCAGACAAAAATAAGTCAGTGATCAATTCATTTGTTTAAAAGGGAGCAGAGAGTATATTTTTTAAAGACCAGCTACTACTTTTTTTTTTTTTTTTTTTTTTAGAACCAAACACCACTTTCTCTTCTCTAACTGGACCATTGGTCCATTTCTGCTAGGCTGGGGTATATTTGACTGAGTTTATGCCAAACGCTTCTGCCGGTTCTTTCAAAAGCAAATCAGTCTGGTGAGGTTTCTAAGCCCGTGGGCTACTACACAGACACAGAAAATGTGATCCACTGAGCAGCACTGGAAGTGTACTGGTGAGTGTGTATTCTGCATGCTTGTTAATGTCTGCGCAGCTATGTAGATCCAGGAGGGGCGCTTCTTATGCAGTTTAATGGAATCCATTTGGGGTGAAAGGCGTTATTTTGCCTAATGAAATCTCCCCTTCGCAGTCCAGCTCCCAGACAGACTCGGCCGCAGGGTCACCATCTGGGGACGTCTGAGAGATCTGGGACATACGATCGAAAGGGCTCTCTTCCTCCTTGTCCCCCTCCCCGTCCCCCGGGGTCACGGCATTGGGGATCATATGGATGTAGGCAGCTGCAATCTCCTTGTGGAAGACGGTGTCCTGGTTGTAGGAGATGAGCTCATTGCTGATGTTCACTGTCTCCACCGGGGTGCGGGAGCAGAGGTTGCCGCACCCCAGCAGCTGCGCAAACACCTTCCGGAAGTCAGCGTTGAAGGCGTAGATGACGGGGTTGAGGGAGGAGTTGGCCCAGCCGAACCAGACGAAGACGTCGAAGGTGGTCTCGCTGACGCAGGGGAAGCCAGCCCGAGGACCCTCGGGGCGCCGGCTGCAGAAGGGGACCATGCAGTTAAGGATGAAGAAGGGCAGCCAGCAGCACACGAAGACCCCCATGATCACCGACAGGGTCTTGAGGACCTTGGTCTCCTTCTTGATGGATGTCCGCAGGCTGGTGTCAGGGGCACAGGCCCCGCGGCTGCGGCAGCTCTGCGCGTGCTCCGCGGCCCTCTCCAGGGAGGAAATCCTGCGGATCTGCACCTGGGCGATGCGGTAGATGCGCGTGTAGGTCACGATCATGATGGCCACGGGGATGTAGAAGCTGATGAGCGAAGAGGAGATTGCATAAGTTCGGTTCAGGCTGGAGTCACAGTTTTCGGCCCTCGCCTCTGGCTCCCCCGCTTCCTCCCAGGGCGTCCCGTTGGCCAGGCTGGGTGGCGGTTCCACCCCGCCCCAGGAGCCTGCCTTGTCCCTGTGCCAATGCAGTTGAACTGGGATGAAGGAGATAAGAATGGACAAGGTCCAGGCCAGGCCGACCACGATCAACGCCACGCGCTGGGTCATCTTGCGCTCATAGCAGAAGGGCCTGGAGATGGCCCAGTAGCGGTCCACGCTGATGACGCACAGGTTAAGGATGGAGGCGGTGGAGCACATGATGTCAAAGGCCACCCAGATGTCGCAGAAGGACCCAAAGGGCCAGTAACCGGCCACCTCGGCGACCGCCTTCCAGGGCATGACCAACAGCGCCACGAAGAGGTCGGACACAGCCAGAGACACGATGAAGACGTTGGTCATCTTGGCGCGCAGGTGGCGGCTGCGCACGATGGCCGCGCACACCAGCACGTTGCCCAGCAGGGTGCAGACGATGAGCAGGGTCAGGAGGCCGGCCG